ATTTTTTGCCTATTGTGAGCAATGCTGCAATGAACTTGGGAGTGCAGAGTCCCTTCAACATTCTGATTTCATTTCCTCTGGGTATATACCTAGTGCTGGGATTGCTAGATCATATGAGAGTTTTTTTTTTTTTTTGAGGAACCTCCAAACTGCTTTCAATAATGACTAATAGTAATTTACATTCCCACCAACAGTGTGCAAGGGTTCCTCCACTGTTACTTGATAACACATGTTATCCTTATTCTTTTTAATATTAGCCATTGTCACTGAAGTAAGATGATATCCTGTCTGGATTTTGATTTACATTTCAATACCTTTTGGTCATCTGTATATCATCTTTTGAGGAATGTCTGTTTTGGTCTATTTCCCATCCTTTAATAACTTATTTGGGATTTTTCCTGTTGAGTTACTTGAGTTCCTTATGTATTGTTAATATTAACCCCTTGTCAGATTTCACACAATTTTCCCCATTCTGTAGGTTCAAAAGGCCTCTACACTCTGTTGATTGTTTCCTTTGCTATTTTGACTTTTTTGATGGGAAGATTCCTATTATTGATTCATTGTTAATACTCATTATTGGTCTGTTCAGGTTTTTCATTTCTTCATGATTCCACCATGATAAGGTATATGTGTCTAGGAATTCATCCATTTCTTCTAAATTATCAATTTGGTTGGCCTGTAGTTGTTCATATTAATCTCTAATGATCCTTTGTATTTCTGTGGTATAATTTGTTATATCTCCATTTTTAGCTCTGATTTTATTTATTTGAGTCTTCCCTCTTTTTTTTTCCAAGTCTATCTAAAGATTTGTCAATTTTGCTTAACTTTTCAAAGAACCACCTCTTCATTTTGTTGATCTTTGGTATTTTTACTTTCCATTTCATTTATTTCTGCTCTGAGCTTTATTAGTTCTATCTTTTTACTAATTTGATGTTTGGGTTCTGTTTTTCTAGTTCCTTGAGGTGCAGTGATAGGTTGTTTATTTGAGATCTTTCTGCCTTTCTTAATGCAGCGCCTTAGACCACTCAGCTACACTACCCATTCTTTCTGCCTTTCTGGTGACAGTATCAATTCTATAAATCTCCCTCAGTGCTACTGTTGTTGTATCCCATATAGGTTTTGATATGTTGTGTCTCCATTTTCATTTCTTTTAAGAAACTTTTAAATTTCCTTTTTGATTCCTTCTTTAATCCATTTGTTCTTCACAAGTAACTTGTTTAATTTCTACATATTGTTATAGTTTCTAATATCTTTCTTATTATTGATCTCTAATTTTGTTGCATTGTTGTCAGAAAAGATACTTGATATAATTTGTTTTTTTAATTTATTGAGACTTGTTTTATGACCTATTATGTAATCTATCTTAGAGAATGTTCCATCTACTTGTGAGAAAAAAATGCATATTCAGCAACAATTGGATGAAGTTTTCTGTATATGACTGTTAAGTCCACTTAGTCTAGGATACAATTTACTGTGTTATTTCTTTGTTGACTTTCTGTCTGGGTGAGCTGTCCATTGATGAATGTGAAGACTTTCACTTTCTGTCTATTAATCTTGCTTTATCTCACTGTGGAGTAACAACCTCAAGCTCTTATGCCACAACATGGCACCTATCTCCTCTTTCTTCCCCCAAAAGACAATTGCCCCCTCTGTGTTGTGCTGCCTGGGGTTAGGGACAAAATTGGATTGGCAGTCCTCTGGCCACCAATACTGCAATGTTGGGTCACACCTGGAACCTACAACCTTACAAGACTAATCCAATGCTTCAGTAGGACCAAGACCCACTCTGCTGTGGCCTTCTTGCTGCTGAGCTGTACTTGTGGCCCAAGACCACTGCAGCTAGCCAAGGTGAAGCTGGTCAGAATAGAAGGTTGATCACCTTGGGCTGTGTATCTCCATCTTGCACCAGGGTGGGTCTAGAGCCTCCATCTTTCAACACTGGTCTGGGAGTAGGGGATGTACCCAGTGTTAGGTTTCAACAGACCAGCACTGAGTTTCAAAAGACAGTACTGTGCTCACTTTCCTATCCTACCCAGTGGGAGGGGTCTTGCTCCTCACTCTACCAAGACCAAGCAGTACGGTCTTTCCCCTGGCTTCCTTAACTCTTGTGAAGGTAGTTTGGTGCATGGAAAGCTGTTCAAATTGGTGTGTCTGTGGGGAGAAGATCACTAGAGGATTTTGCTCAGCTGCCATCTTGCTCCCAATCCTGTTAATTGATTTTCAAATGTTAAACTAACCTCGCACTCCTGGGATAAGCCCTACCTGGATTTATTACTGTACGTGTGTGTGTGTGTGTGTGTGTGTGTGTGTGTGTGTGTGTGTTAAAAGTGTAAGTCCAATCAGGAGATAGAAATAAAACTGTAGGTTGAACAGGAAACACTTAGCATAAAGAATTATGAATTGTGATAACATAGTAACTATAAAATACAAAGAAAATCAGTATAGTACCCTTGGACTGAGGCAGAATATCTAAGGAAGAATAAAGCTGGAAGGGGTTGAGACCTGGAAGAAAGAGTTGTTCAGCCATGTTACTGTAGAGAAATTCTCTGATTTAGCCAGGCTGGACCTGGTTTGGAGTTGCTGAACACAAAATAGACCACCCTGTGGAGTAGAGGCAGAGAAGTAGGCAATCAGCAACTGACAGAATGCTGGTGTAGTAGTACTCTTAGTGCCTACTAGAGCAAGAAGACTTCAGAGTGCGTGTGTTGCATGGGGTAAAGGTGAAGGGTGAAAGCTTGTGGAATGAATGTCTATTCAGTATGTGTCACTAGGGAACAGAGGAAGTTTATGCAGGTCATAACGGAACTTTCCCATAGAGTCCAGGCAAGTGGCTGCAGGCAGTCAGGAGGGCTGTGGAAAGATTATCTAGCACCAGACTGAGTCTGCAAGATCCCATAGGACCTAGATGATCAACTTGGCTCTACCAGATGTTTTCACACCCATACCACAGAGCCTATACCAGAAACAGCAGGATAAACTTTCTCTCTTTCAGTGTCCCTCCAGCACCCTCTTTAGAGAAAGCTTAACATTGTGCTTACTGTAAAGGAGAAATGCTTAAAGAGATTCTTATATCAATAGCATATATGCAAAGTATGTTTGGAACTAAGAGGTAATAAATTGGTAATTGACACATATGCACAGCTGTTTTCAGCTTAATTTGCCTCTAGCTCCTGGAGGGATATTGGCCTCCAATTTTCTTTTCATGTAATGAGTTTTAACAAAGTTAGTGTCATTCTTGTTTACTAAGCAGTTTGTGTATAATGTATATCTTCCTTAAATTGTAATGGTGATCTGATTACAGTGCCTATCATCTTTTGTTTATACCACAATACCAAATGTTTGCTAGAATTTACCAGAGAAACTCTCTAAGAATGGAGTTTACTTTGGGGGAAAATTTTAGATAACATATTCAACTTTTTCATATATATGTACATTTATATGAAGAAATGACTAGTTACTGGTTCTTTCAAGAAATTTGTACATTTCATCTAGGTTGTCAAATTTGTATTCATAAAGTCATCCATAGAATTTCCATATTATTTTCATGTCTATAGATTCTATAATGATATCAGGTTCTTTATACTGATGGTTTTCACCCTCTTTTTACTTGTTCAATCTAGTTGAGTTTATCAGTTTTGTTGGTCATTTCAAAGACCCATCATTTTGCTCAAATCAAATGCATTATTCCATTCAATCTTTACTTGGAAAATCTTTTGTCAACTAGTAAGAGGGATAGCTCTGTTCAGCCTTCCTATCTTTTCTTATCAGATAAATGCATGTTTTATTTGATTTCCCATACTTCCAGGTCTCTCTTGCTTCACATCAAAGCATTAAAAAATACAACAATAATATGTGCAAAAATCCAGGAAAAGTCTTATCTTAATCAAAAGAACATCACACAACCATTTTGCTAATTTGTAATAAACTTTACTAATTACTGCTATTGGTCTTAGAAAACAACATCATCTAATATAAAGAGTGAATTACTAAATCCCATGTGGCCTTGAATAAATCACAGGGCTTCACTATTTTTCTTATCAATAAATTAAGATTACATTCCTTTATCTACATGCTTGGTCAGCACAAGTCACATGGCCTTCCTACTGTTCTGCAAACAAAATCAAATGCTTTTCATTTGACCCACAATTGTCTACTTTCTGTTCCCTCTGCCTGGAACACTGTTTCCTTAGATTGTCATATTTTGTCATCTTACCACACTGGTACCAAGTCCAAAGTCACTTCTACAAAAAGTCCTTCACTCAGCACTCCACCTGAAATAGATTTTCAAGTTACTCTTAATCACATAACACTATTTTTCCTTCATAGTGTCTTAGAATAACTAGCTGAAATTATTTTATGTATTTATATCTAGTGTGTCATCTTTCTTCCTCAATAGAATATAAACTGCCCAGAAAGCTAAGATCATGTCTGCTATATTCATCATTATGTGTTTAATACCTGACACACTTCCTCCCACGTAGCAGATGCTCATATAAATGTTAGTATTGAATGAATGAATGAATGAAGATCTCTGTGTGAAACTGTGCACTAGATGATAGCTAAGATTTCTCTCACAAAGGGAGACAGTTGAGAAATTACATCATTCTATTCTAAAGAAAGCTTTGTTAGAACAACCTCTTGCCTACCTCTGTTTGATGAAGACCAAGCTAACATCTTTCTCCAATGCATCCATAAACTTTGACCAACAAGAACTTACTCTATGAAACTTGCTTTAGGTAAAGCATCATATAAGGTGAAGGAAACCATCTGAAATTTAATTTCTATTCCCTACTCCCAGATTCTCCAAAGAAAGACAAAATATGACCATCAGGCAATAGAGTTACTCCCTCTCTCTGATCCTGTATTCCTAAGAGAATATTGACTTACTGTCACTGCATCTGTGGAACAAGTAGAAAACATAGAGCAAGCATTATCTAAAATAGTTGAACAACAAATGTCTTTTATCATGTATTTATATCTTTCTCCTGATTCCATGTTAGGTATAACAACTATGACCGGGCTGTCATCAATACTGTACCTTATGATGTTGTCCATCGTTGGTATATAGCACACCGGACTCTAACAACTGAGTTGAGAAAACCTGAGAATGAACTTTGGGTCAAACTAAAGCCTGGAAAGGTGGGTTCTAAATTCTAAGAATGTCAAGTAAGCTTGTTATAGCCAGCAGTGAAGAAGAATACTTGTTTAGTTTGTGTCACAGTGTTGCAAAGGAAAAACAGAAATGAGCCCTATGTTATCCTTGGTCTACCACTCACTGAATTATCTGAAAGCAGGCTCCAAGCCATCTGAAGACATCAGTGACTCTGAGTGATGCAGTTATTTCACTATATGATCCCTAAAGTTCCTCCCAGCTTCATGATTTCATGTTGTAAATCTTGATATTTCCTCTGGATGAAGAATATCTTCACCTAACGTAATGAAATAATAGTTTAACACTTTGAGAAAGTATAGAGTAAGAATTAAAGAGAAGGAAGTCTGTTGCTTAATTTACTTTGAAAAAGAGAACAATTACTTGAGAAACATGAGCTCTTCAAGTGCAGGGCCTATTAGCTACTATTGCCTTTTTAACTTCCATTTAGCCTGCTGTGGGCTTATTCACATGTTAGTTTCCAAACATTCCAATATTTTCACAAGAAAAATATTTTATTGAATATAACCAGAGAACAACCTAAAGCTTTTCTTTTAAATGACCTTTTTTTTTTTTTGCAGTACTGGAACTTGAACTTTCACCTTGAGCCATTCCACCAGCCCTATTTTTGTGAAGGGTTTTTCAAGATAGGGTCTCGAGAACTATTTGCCCAGACTGGCTGCGAACCGAGATCCTCCTGATCTCTGCCTCCTGAGTAGCTAGGTTTACAGGCGTGATTCTCCAGTGCCTGGTTTAAATGATTTCTTCTGAGTTAGGGTTGCTTTGGTCTGTTCTTGTTCTAATGGTATTTTCTGTCTTTTTACCCATTCACAGGTACTATTTATAGACAACTGGCGAGTCCTACACGGCAGGGAATCCTTCACTGGCTACCGCCAACTCTGTGGCTGCTATTTAACAAGAGATGATGTATTAAATACTGCTCGTCTCTTGGGGCTTCAGGCTTAAAATTGACAGCACTGGGATTATGAATACATCTGGCACCTTGTCTACCATCATTTCATATCAACGGAATAATATTGTGTCAAAACTGACTTCCCATTGTTTCCATAACCCATCCAACAAAGCAGAAGCTGCCCCCTTCTCAAGTAGGGAAAACCTATTAGAGAAATGGAGTTTCTGAGTTATGTAATGTCAACCATCTAGTAGGGTAGCTCTTTTCCCAAGTTACCCTTTGTTTTCTAAATCATTTGATGTAATTTTGGTCACTCTACTTCAGAAGTACAATCCCCATATTGAAAGAAAACCAATGATATTCACTAGGTAAAAATGAAATACATTCTAGAAATGACAAGATACTGATAAAGTAACAGTTTACAAAATTTTTGGTCTTAGCATCCACATATGACAGACAATATGTAGTTACTTGAATTTCTGCGTGTTATTATTTCACTTAACATAATGTCCTCCAGTTCCATCAATTTTTCAGCAAATAATAGGATATCACTTTTCTTTTTATTACTAAATATATCCTATTATAAACATGTGCCACATTTTCTTTATCCACTCATGCATTCATGAGCATGTAGGTTGATTACCTATCTTAGTTATTGTGAATAATGTACCAATAAATATGAGTGTAAAGATACTCTATGATATGCTGAACTCATTTGCTTTGAGTATTTAACCAGAAAGGATAGGTGAATCATATGATAGATTTCTTTTTAACTTTTTTTTTGAGGAACCTCCATACTGCGTTCCATAGTGACTATACTATTTGAGTTCCTTCTAACAGTATTTAAGACTACCTTTTCATATACAGCCTTACCAACACATTTAATTTTTGTCTTTTTGATAATAGCCATTCTAACTGAGACAAAACAATGTCACATTGTGGTTTTAATTTGATTTTCCCTGATGAATATTGATGTTGAGCCATTTTTATATACTTCTTGACCATTTATATATCTTCCTTTGAGAAATGCCAATCTAGGTCTATTGCCCCTTTGTGCTTGTTGGTTTAGAACTATTTTTGGTTTTGTTTCAGAGTTGGGGGCTTTTCGTTTATTTTAATTACTTCATTTGTTTGTTTTCATGTTTTGATTGGGTGTTTGGAGAAAGCAGTGTAACTCAAGTTTGACTTCACCTGGCCAGGTAGCCCAACCTGGCCTTGAACAAATTCACAATCCTACTGTCTCAGCATCAGCCTCCCAATTGCTGGGATTAAAGGTCTGTTCTACTGTATGCAGGTATTATCCATTTTTAATCATATTACATGTTCTGAGTATATTGACTTCCTTATATATTATATATTACCACCATTTGAGTTGGAAAATAATTTGTCCAATACTGTAGATTGTCCTTCAATCTGATGATTGTTTCTTTTCCTGGGCAGAAACACCTTAATACACTGAAAACACTGACAAATCCAAGGACTTCTTGGGTATGGGTTATATCTACTGACACTAATTATATTAGTTATTAAGAGTGAGAAATGGTTAAAACTCAGGAACACCAAAGCACCCATCCCTCAGGTATCAGAGAGATGACATCATCACATGTCATGTAGCCTCTGGAAAAGTCATGAGATAATGGGAGTTAAAAAAGCAAATATCATGCTCATGCTGTTATAAAAATAGTTTTATCCCACAAACACACTGAAATGGTCTCAGGGAGCCCTCCAGGTGTCTTTGGAGCAGAGGTTGAGAACCAGTGGGTTAGGATTGGTTCCTTGAGACAGTCCTTTACATAGGCTGCGGATTAAAAAGTTTGGCTGAAACCCTGGATTTTGCTTTGTAGTCTCTACAAATGCAAGAGGAGACCATGTAGTCTCCTACAAAATGTCTCCAGGCATTGTAGGCGTTGCTTCGTAGCACAAGCCCAGCGATAACTTTGGAACTGAATTCAAATATCATGTTTTATCTTCTTAGAAGGGTTATGTCCATCCCAAGCACCTCTCAAGAAGTTAAACTAGAAGCCACAACAGCTCTTGTGGAACAAAGCCATCATTTCGGTAATTATTTTTAGAGACTTCCAATTTTCCATATGACAATTCTTCACACACACACACACACACACACACACACACACACACACACAGAGCATACTGAGAGATAGCATGAAGGGCTAATCTAAGGCTGTCCAGGAAAATAATCATGAGAGATTATGTGCCTTCAGACAACTCGAGATTGCTATCCAAACTGTATTTTGGCCATTTGGGGCATTTCAGGATGTAATCTGTTTCCTGCATTTCTGCTGATCTTTTAATTTTTCTTCTTTTAAAATACTATACATGTCAATTGCCAAGATTTGACTAGGATCAAATTTTAGTACCTTATTTCTTGAATGGCTTCTTCAATGGAGAGAAAGAGAGAGGGGGGGAGGGGGGAAGAAGGAGGAGGAGAGGAGAGAAGAGGGAAGGAGGGGAGAGGAGAGGACAGGAGAGAAAGATGGGGGTGGGGGGAGGTATGAGGCTTCTGTTTCCCAAGCTTTCATTGAAAGTGAAGCTGTACCATAACCACATTGACCACTGTAAGTGATGAAAGAGATCTAGACTAGGATACACAGGAGAGAAAAATATTATTAGCAAAGACAGGAGTCATAAGGAAAGAAAAAACAGTGTTCTGCCAGAAAATAGAGCCTAACCTGATGTCTTCAGGGAATTCCTAGGTCACTTTTGGGAGTATGTGTATTATTTTATTTACCATGTAATGCTCCAAAATGTGTTCTCAAAATATTTCTGCATCATACTTTTACTATGTAGGAATCTTCAGGGGTCTTCCATGAAATTTGTTTTCAAATACTTAGGTCAAAGGATTGATGATTTAGGGTCTTAAACAGTATGTACCTTTTCAGCAATCAGAACAGAGATAACAATATTTTACCATGCGAGCTTTTCTCTTTGCTATTGTGCAGTCCTAAAACCTGTCACCATTAGTCTTCATCAGAATATTGTCTTTCTGAAGTTTTGCATAAATGAGCTTTGAAGCTTACAGTATAACTGAAGTCAGCATTGATTTACGAAAGGCAAGGACATACTCATGGCCCTGTAAAGATAAGGACAAAAATTAAATTTCCCCCTTACTGAAGGACTCCCCTTACCTTATGCACTCCCAGATTATTAATGAAATAATTCACTAATTATTTCACCCTCCTTCTCCTCCTAAATCTTCGGTCAATCCTTCTCAATAATGTGCTCCCTTCAGAGGAAGAAAGAAGGAAGGGAATTATTTGACTGCTGATCATGTATGGTGCATTGAAACTTTCTATGTGAGATGCTCCTTTTTTTTTTAAACATCTCTTCCAGGTGTCCATGAGTATATAAGCCTGGGACTATGTTTACAAAGCTCACTGTAGAGTCACTTTTACCTTTTGCTATGGTGGGATGCGATCAGTAGTGTTAAGGGACATAGCACCTATCCCAGTGCCTTACAAATAAACACAGATTTATTGGAAGAAGAGTAAATGAATGTGTTCTTTCCAAAACCACTCATCAGAAATTACCTCATTCTCTGTGTGTCCTTTCTGTATTGTGTGTCAGCGCAATACAGCGCTGAATTTTACTTGCCTCCATCTAGAATTAACAGCTATCCCACTGTTCCCACAACTGAGGGCTTTGCTGGTGTGCAGAAATTTCCATTTTAAGACTGGTAAAATTCCACACAAACCAGGACTGTTGGTCAGTCACCTTACCCTTTTTGCTGCTAATTGCATGGTTTTTTTTTAAAGTTTTCATCACCAGTTTCCTTTTCTCTCTGTTTGTAGATCACAGACTGTGTAGTCCATGACGCAAACTATGTATGAAACTATGATGTGTTGTGGTAGTTCCCAAAGCAGGGTCCCCATATCAGCATCATCAGCAAGATTTGAAAGCTCCATAGAAATGAAAATATTTGGGACTCATTCCTTTCCTACTCAATCAAGCACAGGGAGTCCAGATCAGTAGATCGTTTTAGCAAGCCCTCCAGGGAATTCTGATGCACACTGGGGTTTGAGAATCACTGAAGAGAAGAACCCTGTTGCTGAGTTCCAGGTCCAGTTCTGGCACTGACTCACTAAAATGACTTGAGGCATGTCCCTGTCCCATTTCGAGCATCAGGTTGCTCGTCTGTGAAATGAAAGGCATGTATTAGGCAGCATCTAAAGGTTCTGCCACTCTGTAGTTGTGCAACTTTGTCTGGCTTTTTCACTGCTTAGGTTTTATATGGGTATGGTAAGGAAAATACTTAACTCACAGGGCTTCCTAACAATTTTGTGGTTGTTAAATAAAATGTTTGCAACGCATGTTGATGTCCAGTAAGAATAGGTAACTCTTAGGTAATGTTTTCTGTGTACCAGGCACTGTTCTGAGTGCTTTTGATCCCCACAACAGCCCTGTCCCCATTTCACAAACGAAGAACATAGAGGTAAGGAGAGATTAAACATGTCACCCAAGGTTACAAGACTAAATGAGTGGCAGAGTTTGGATTAGAACCCTGAAAACCTCACAATTCTTTTAGTGAGTATGTCATATTGCTCATAAATGTTAATTTCCTCGCCTTTTCCACACTTACAGTCTAGCTGACCATTCATAGACAATAGTGATCAGTCCCACTTTCACAGTTCATCTAGCAAGATTTTAAAAGAACCATGAGAATATTTAAATTCCATTGTCTACTGTCTATATCTATTTTGGAAATATTTATTTTGAAAAGTACAAAACATTTGAAAATATTTATTTTAAATAGCACAAAACACTTGAAATAAAGGTAGAAGCTTGATAGAAGGATATCACCCTAATCAGACTTTCCCTCTTTAATGGACTTTCACTAAAGTCCACTCAGGACATAGCCACATCACTGGTCCCAGGATGCTCTTGGACATATTGGGGATCCACTCACAGAGCCAGCTGCTGGCTTAGCTCAGCTCCTAGTTGCGAGGCTGGACTGTGTCTGCATCCCCTTTTGAGCTTTTGGATCATCAGAGCCAAAGACCCTGCCAGAGTTTGGCAGCAGTTCTTTTTTTTTTTTCTGTCAGACTTATAGCCAGAGGTTGGTTAGTTTGTGGGTAGCTGCACTCTACTCCTTGGCTTTAAGCAGCAACTCTGGCTTTTGCCCTCCATCTTGCTCAGAGTATATTTGGACCATTATACCTTGCAGGAGCTTAATGTCTTGCTACAGTGGTTTCTTCCAGACCATCAAGCCTGCCACTTCAACATGGAGACAATTATCTGGTCTTTTTGTCTGTTTGTTGTATTGAGTTTACATTTTTCTATTTTGTCCATCATTGCCATATGTTTGGAGCACTCGGTGGGCTTTCCAGAGCATGAATTCACTGTACCATATTGAATGGGAAGTCAGTGGAAATCTTTCCCATGTGGATTTCACTCTTCCCTCACTTCCTAAATTCAGTGTGCAAAGAATAACTGCATACTTTCTTGATGATTTTGGCTTATTGCTATGGTTGTCAGTTCCTGGGCCAGGCTATTAAGCAGTATAAAAATCTTAGCTTGATTAATGGAATCCAGTCTTCCTTTCTGGAAAATAAAATCAGGCATCTTTTATAATTGTGAGAAGTCATATTAAGTCACGTTGGTGTGTAGCACACAGATTAATAGCGGTGGTCTTTCTGTGTTGGTGGATAAACATGGCATTGCATTCTCTGCGCAACTGCAGATCACAAGAGTCAATGCTGTGAAACCTGTGAAGTTAGTGAAGCTTTTCCTTTGTTGGTCCCATCTTTCTCCACAATATACACTCGGATTGTGTTGGCCACTCCTTCCAACTCAGGTACTCAGTATCCTCTCCCCTTCTCCTTTCTAGCTCACCCTGTGATGCCTTCACTGAGGCAGCATAGTGTCATAGGAAGAGCACAGGCTTGGAATGACCTGGATTTGACTTCTGTCTGTGCTTCTTATTAGCCTGGTGAATTTTGGAAGTCTCCTTTCCTTTCCTTTCTTGAGCCTCTGTTTCTTCATATGCAAAGTGAGCCTAATGAATACATCTACCTGAAAAAAAGCTGCGATGAAGAATATGACATAAGGTCATGTGTATAAAGCATTTACCCCAGTGGGCAGGACATAATAAACACTCACTGCATAGTAGTTGTTTATCATAGTTGCCAATATTATTTTGAGAGGAGAGGCGGGTTTAGGGCTAGCCTGCATGTTTGATAAAATCAACCGTCTTCTTCGAAGCAGTAAAGTTATGAGAGTCAGAATGGCAAAGGTGTGTGAAGATGCTAGGGGTCAGAGAGAGTAGCCGGGTGGTGAAGTGCACATGTATTGACAAGGTATCTGAACTTCCATGCCTGAGGGCGATGGTAGGAAGTTGGTTTAGGGTTTTGGTGATCTGGGGGTTGAAAGCTGAAAGAGCAGAAAGGTCAAGAGAGCCTGATGAGACAAGCTAAGTCTGGACAATTTTAGGGAGAGTGGCTTGGAAACAAAAGTGTGTAGGGTGAACAAGACAGGCAGGCAGACACCCATGTCTATGACTATGTTATAGTTAAGCTGGGACACATACTTCCACATCTAACTTTATCACCTCCAAAACCCCCACTGAAACTATTATAAAATAAGTTTGAAAGGATTGAAAAAAAGGAGGTAGAAACTTCCTTTTTCGATGCCAAAAAGCAGATGG